GAGAGACCAGAGAGAGACCAGAGAGAGAGACAAGAGAGAGAGAGAGACCAGAGAGAGACCAGAGAGAGAGACAAGAGAGAGAGAGAGAGAGACCAGAGAGAGAGACAAGAGAGAGAGAGATAGAGACCAGAGAGAGAGACAAGAGAGAGAGAGAGAGAGACCAGAGAGAGAGACAAGAGAGAGAGAGAGAGAGAGAGAGAGAGAGAGAGAGAGAGAGACAAGAGAGAGAGAGAGAGAGAGAGAGACCAGAGAGAGAGACAAGAGAGAGAGAGAGAGACCAGAGAGAGAGACAAGAGAGAGAGAGAGAGATAGAGAGACCAGAGAGAGAGAGACAAGAGAGAGAGAGAGAGAGACCAGAGAGAGAGACAAGAGAGAGAGAGAGAGAGACCAGAGAGAAAGACCAGAGAGAGAAAGACAAGAGAGAGAGAGAGAGAGACCAGAGAGAGAGACAAGAGAGAGAGAGAGAGAGAGAGACCAGAGAGAGACAAGAGAGAGAGAGATAGAGAGACCAGAGAGAGAGACAAGAGAGAGAGAGAGAGAGACCAGAGAGAGAGACAAGAGAGAGAGAGAGAGAGACCAGAGATAGAGACAAGAGAGAGAGAGACCAGAGAGAGAGACAAGAGAGAGAGAGACCAGAGAGAGAGACAAGAGAGAGAGAGAGAGAGACCAGAGAGAGAGACAAGAGAGAGAGAGAGAGACAAGAGAGAGATCAGAGAGAGATAGATCTGGTCCATCTCTGGTCTCTCTTTCTCTGGTCCCTCTCTGGTCTATCTCTGGTCTCTCTCTGGTCTCTCTCTGGTCCATCTCTGGTCTCTCTTTCTCTGGTCCCTCTCTGGTCTATCTCTGGTCTCTCTCTGGTCTCTCTCTGGTCCATCTCTGGTCTCTCTTTCTCTGGTCCCTCTCTGGTCTCTCTCTGGTCTGTCTCTGGTCTGTCTCTCTCAAGTCTCTCTTTCTGTGGTCTCTCTCTCTTTAACTGCCTTAAAAAAAAGTTTCCCCAATGAGACAAATAAATAAGAAATCTTAAATTCAGCCTCCCATGGTCCTCAGCCCCCCATGGTCCCCAGCCTCCCATGGTCCTCAGCCCCCCATGGTCCCCAGCCTCCCATGGTCCTCAGCCCCCCATGGTCCTCCTCCTCCTTCTCCTCGTTTCTTGTTCCTTCCTATGGTAATTAGCGCTGTTGCTGGTGACCCGCTGTTGCTGGTGTCCCACGCGGACCCTTCGCGACCATCAATCACCTCCTTCCTTCGTTAGCGGCTACATTTACATGCGCGGGGCCCAAATTAGCTTAGCGCTGCCTCGTTAATTGCCCGTGTGCGTAAGTGGAAAGGCGGGCTGCATGTTTACCTCCGCGGCCTCCCAGGACCACATGGGGAGCGGGCTGTTTGTGGTAATTAGGAAAACTAACGAGATTAAGCCGTAAATTAACTCTGAGCAGAGAGGGCGCCGGAGCGAGATCGTTCCAGACTCACTGAGATCTAAAGAGTATTTACTTTCTGAGGAACTAGCACTTTAATGTCTGAGGAACTAGCACTTTAATGTCTGAGGTCTACAGAAGTGCTTGCACTTTAATGTCTGATGTCTACAGAGGAACTAGCACTTTAATGTCTGAGGTCTACAGAGGAACTAGCACTTTAATGTCTGAGGTCTACAGAGGAACTAGCACTTTAATGTCTGAGGAACTAGCACTTTAATGTCTGAGGAACTAGCACTTTAATGTCTGAGGTCTACAGAGGTACTAGCACTTTAAGGTCTGAGGTACTAGCACTTTAATGTCTGAGGTACTAGCACTTTAATGTCTGAGGTACTAGCACTTTAATGTCTGAGGTCTACAGAGGTACTAGCACTTTAATGTCTGAGGTCTACAGAGGTACTAGCACTTTAATGTCTGAGGTCTACAGAGGTACTAGCACTTTAATGTCTGAGGTACTAGCACTTTAATGTCTGAGGTACTAGCACTTTAATGTCTGAGGTCTACAGAGGTACTAGCACTTTAATGTCTGAGGTACTAGCACTTTAATGTCTGAGGTACTAGCACTTTAATGTCTGAGGTACTAGCACTTTAATGTCTGAGGTCTACAGAGGTACTAGCACTTTAATGTCTGAGGTCTACAGAGGTACTAGCACTTTAATGTCTGAGGTACTAGCACTTTAATGTCTGAGGTCTACAGAGGTACTAGCACTTTAATGTCTGAGGTCTACAGAGGAACTAGCACTTTAATGTCTGAGGTCTACAGAGGAACTAGCACTTTCATGTCTGAGGTTTACAGAGGAACTAGCACTTTAATGTCTGAGGTACTATCACTTTAATGTCTGAGGTCTACAGAGGAACTAGCACTTTAATGTCTGAGGTCTACAGAGAAACTAGCACTTTAATGTCTGAGGTACTAGCACTTTAATGTCTGAGGTCTACAGAGGAACTAGCACTTTAACGTCTGAGGTACTAGCACTTTAATGTCTAAGGTCTACAGAGGAACAAGAACTTTAATGTCTGAGGTCTACAGAGGAACTAGCACTGTAATGTCTGAGGTCTACAGAAGTGCTTGCACTTTAATGTCTGATGTCTACAGAGGAACTAGCACTTTAATGTCTGAGGTCTACAGAAGTGCTTGCACTTTAATGTCTGATGTCTACAGAGGAACTAGCACTTTAATGTCTGAGGTCTACAGAGGAACTAGCACTTTAATGTCTGAGGAACTAGCACTTTAATGTCTGAGGAACTAGCACTTTAATGTCTGAGGTCTACAGAGGTACTAGCACTTTAATGTCTGAGGTACTAGCACTTTAATGTCTGAGGTACTAGCACTTTAATGTCTGAGGTCTACAGAGGTACTAGCACTTTAATGTCTGAGGTCTACAGAGGTACTAGCACTTTAATGTCTGAGGTACTAGCACTTTAATGTCTGAGGTACTAGCACTTTAATGTCTGAGGTCTACAGAGGTACTAGCACTTTAATGTCTGAGGTACTAGCACTTTAATGTCTGAGGTACTAGCACTTTAATGTCTGAGGTACTAGCACTTTAATGTCTGAGGTCTACAGAGGTACTAGCACTTTAATGTCTGAGGTCTACAGAGGTACTAGCACTTTAATGTCTGAGGTACTAGCACTTTAATGTCTGAGGTCTACAGAGGTACTAGCACTTTAATGTCTGAGGTCTACAGAGGAACTAGCACTTTAATGTCTGAGGTCTACAGAGGAACTAGCACTTTCATGTCTGAGGTTTACAGAGGAACTAGCACTTTAATGTCTGAGGTACTATCACTTTAATGTCTGAGGTCTACAGAGGAACTAGCACTTTAATGTCTGAGGTCTACAGAGGAACTAGCACTTTAATGTCTGAGGTACTAGCACTTTAATGTCTGGGGTCTACAGAGGAACTAGCACTTTAACGTCTGAGGTACTAGCACTTTAATGTCTAAGGTCTACAGAGGAACAAGAACTTTAATGTCTGAGGTCTACAGAGGAACTAGCACTTTAATGTCTGAGGTCTACAGAAGTGCTTGCACTTTAATGTCTGATGTCTACAGAGGAACTAGCACTTTAATGTCTGAGGTCTACAGAGGAACTAGCACTTTAATGTATAAGGTCTACAGAGGTACTAGCACTTTAATGTCTAAGGTCTACAGAGGAACTAGCACTTTAATGTCTGAGGTCAACAGAGGAACTAGCACTTTAATGTCTGAGGTCTACAGAGGAACTAGCACTTTAATGTCTGAGGTCTACAGAGGAACTAGCACTTTAATGTCTGAGGTCTACAGAGGAACTAGCACTTTAATGTCTGAGGTCTACAGAGGAACTAGCACTTTAATGTCTGAGGTCTACAGAGGAACTAGCACTTTAATGTCTGAGGTCAACAGAGGAACTAGCACTTTAATGTCTGAGGTCTACAGAGGAACTAGCACTTTAATGTCTGAGGTCTACAGAGGTACTAGCACTTTAATGTCTGAGGTCTACAGAGGAACTAGCACTTTAATGTCTGAGGTCTACAGAGGAACTAGCACTTTAATGTCTGAGGTCAACAGAGGAACTAGCACTTTAATGTCTGAGGTCTACAGAGGAACTAGCACTTTAATGTCTGAGGTCAACAGAGGAACTAGCACTAGAGAGGTCCCTCTCTCTGGTCTCCCTCTGGTTTCTCTCTGGTATCTCTCTGATCTCTCTCTCTGGTCTCTCTCTGGTTTCTCTCTGGTCTCTCTCTGGTCTCGCTCTGGTCTCTCTCTGATCTCTCTCTCTGGTCTCTCTCTGGTATCTCGCTCTGGTCTCTTGTTGGTCTCTCTCTGGTCTCTCTGGTCTCTCCCTTTTCTCTCTCTGGTCTCTCCCTCTGGTCTCTCTTTGGTATCTCGCTCTGGTGTCTCGTTGGTCTCTCTCTCTGGTCTCTCTCTGGTGTCTCGTTGGTATCTCGCTCTGGTCTCTCTGGTCTCTCTCTGGTCTCTCTCTGGTCTCTCTCTGGTCTCTCTCTGGTCTCTCCCTTTTCTCTCTCTGGTATCTACAGCTCGGTGCAAAACGTTTGTTCTGATGGCGTTAGCTTCACGTCGCATCAGAAGCAGACCTGTTGCTAAGGCGGTTGCTAAGGCGATTTCAGGATTTTCCCCCGTGAATGAAGGCCTCTGATTGGTCGATTCTTATTTGACTCATTTCTGGATTTACAAAGACATTATCACAGTACAAAATGATCCAAACAGTTCCGGAAGAGTTTACTTTTCCATCTGAGACTTTCTCCCCTTTGGGCATCGTTGAGCTAGTTAGCATCATTGAGCTAGTTAGCATCGTTAGCGTGTTAGCATTGTCCATCTGTGCACGGTCTTTAAGAATAACGTCGAAATCTTCCAACGGGAAAAAAACAACCAAACAATTTTCAGTATTTTGCAGAGGGCCAAACACACGGTGATTAATTGTGTGTTTGGTGTTTGTGATTCCTCCCGTGTGCGCGCCGTGTGGCTTTGAGCGCTGATTGCCAAATTATGTCTTGATTGTGGTCCGTTTCCTGCCGTAGCGAATGAATGACCAAATTACCGGCGCTCTTAACGGGACCGCGGGGAGCCACAGCACGCAGGAAGTCAGCGCAAAGTTTGGGCGAAGTGACCGCGGTCGGAGAGTTTGAGTTCAGTGAAGAGCCTGGAGCAGGGTCTGTAACGAGGAGGGTCCAGGGGGAGGGGAGGCTGGACCCGGGCCCTGGACCTGAGCCCTGGACCTGGGCCCTGGATCTCTGCCCCGGCCCCTGCCCCGGCCCCTGCCCCGTGTCACCTCCACTGCACTAATGAGGAAAAGAAAAGTCATTAGATTCTAAAGTTAAGTTCTGTCGAGGCCGTAGGCTACTGCATTATAACTGTTTAGCATTTTCACCATTTTAGCTGTTTATAAAAGTCATTCTTCTGGCTTCATGGCTTTAACCACAGTGGCTTCAGAGTCCGATTGTCCTTTCGTTTCCACGGAGACGCCGCAACGGTAAAAGGTCAGAGTTTAAATTGTGACCTCTCGTTTCCACGGAGACGGTGTTTCAGGTGTAAACGTGTAGAAACAGTCTCCAGAGTGGAACAGAACAGAGACGCAGTAGAACGTAGACAACAATGGCGGCGGGTTCGGCCGATGCTACGTCTGCTTCGCTAACGGAGGACGACGGCCGCTGTAGCTCCTCATGTTCACTGCTGCTGTTACAGAAGGATGTTGGTTCTTTCCTGTCTTTGGCCTGATGGAGTGTAAGCCACTAATTCCCGTTGGCTGAGCGTGTCCACGCATCGGTCATCAGCAATCGACTAAGATGGTCCAAGGGTTAACATCTGCACTTTAAGTATCCTACAATCAGGATACAGAATTTTCAAGCTTACAGTGCACCTATTCTATGCGCCTGCTCCTCTGCGATCCCTGTTACAGTATGGTGCAACGAAAGTGACTCAGACTCTAGTGCTCTTGACTCTCAAGAACCCATGCGGAGGGCCCCTGTCTGTCGGGCGCAAGAAACCCCTCCGAGGGCTGATATACGGGAGACGTCTCCGATGACGTTATCGCATATGCGTCCAGCATGGGTGGGGCTTTCCGGGTGTGCTGACGTCCCTTGTCCACTGAGGAAGGCGTTTAGATAAGTCTGTTGGTGAATTCCCTCTCCGACCTGATGGTGAGGGACTTTGTGCACTCTGTCAGCAGATAAATGTTTATTATGTCGAACGTTAAGTGAATTCGCCTTGTTCAAAAGGCGATACTCTGTTTTATTAATTCCCGTCTGCTTTATCCTGTGTTCCTAGTGATGACCTTAATCCCCGGAGGGCACAGGTCTTTTTGCGTTGGGAAAGAGACAGAGAGTTCGATTCCGGGGTCAATCAATTGCACATTCCTGCGCGTTTAGTCTATATTTTAAGAATATTACAGACAATTCGCTCTCTTTGACCTTTATGTAAAAAATTCGGGGTCCACAATGCCAGGACATCGATCGTTTATCTATCCATACTTGGGGCTTTAGGGCCCGATTTGGTTTCTGTGGAAGAGTTCTATTCAGAGAAAAACAAAACAACACACAAACCCCATTCGAAACATATGTTTTTATCTAATAAATAACTGTGCATAATCTGTACTGAGACTTTATCTGACCGTTTGGAAAGTGTGGAAAGTACTTCTTAGACTCATAAGTATGGAAGGAAATGGTCCTCTTTAACCCGCGATAGATATTAAGCACGTGTGCGACAAAATAATCTCCGACTTTGAAAGCCTCTCTATGGGTTGATGCATTTACTATTTCCTAGTTTTAACGGCTTTTTTTTCTTTTCCAAAGCTCGGTTCTGTAGCATGAGCCCTAAGAAGCATATTCCCCATTTGTGAGGTTCTGTCGACTTTCATTAGCTGTAAATAATTCTTGATTCTTAACTCTATCTAGCTTCTCAATCAGATGGATACACAATGTATCCAGGTACCCATGTTTAATCTCTTACTCCGAAGTTTGTTTATTGACCGCGCTGTATCAAGATTTACATATTTACTATTTAGCATTGTACTAAAACGCTGAGAATACTGCCTTACTTTATCATTTATAAGAACGCCATTTTAATCAGTTTGCTCCAGTCTCCGACCGCCCCGCGACCGTATAGAAGGTCAACCTTTCTTCTGGTCTTGCCAGATCTTGAACCACCTTAACATTTAGGATTTGCCATTGTTGGTGCATAGTTGTGGTTCTAGATTGTAAGATTATATATATATCAATTGCATGATAGGGCCATGGCGAGACGATTTTTGAAGGGCATTGGCTGGTTTCTTGTTCTCGGCAATAATCACTATTTCTATGTATTGATATTTCAGTCAATGAGCCAATACAACACAGTTGTTCTCAACATATTACAAGACATACATCTAAATCAAGTTGCCTGAACGGGGGATTGTTGAACTATTTGTATCAAACCGTTCTACTTAGCGATTAATAAGGCTATGAAATTATTATTTCATAAACAAAAGCACATTGATGCTTCTTGTCCGCTGCTTATAACTGTTTAAACGAGTTGTCCCAGAACTTAATATGTGTAGAATACATCAGTCTGGGGGTTTTTTTTTGTAATAAACAATATCATTTAACAGCTGTTCGCCAATGGAGCAGCTCAGAGGCTGCGTCAAGAGCAATATGTTATATTTGAGCTTATTTTTAGATTAAAATTGTTGTTAAGTAAAGCCTGTCGTTCTATGGCTGCATTTTAGATAACTACTCTACTAGTAAACACATCTGCCCGTAGTTACCTGAGCAGATGTGGGAAAACAGCAGAATCAGACTAAAATCTGACGTACCTTTGATTTCCTTTTTTACTTTTGTATTAGAACAATTTGACCTTATTGGATACTTAGTTACCACATATAGAACTATTTTAAAGTTTGTGCGAATCATTCCCTATTCCTAGTGGACTCACCCACCTGCAGATGAGGAATCAGTGAGGGGCTGGTGCTCTGTGTACTGGGCGCAGCTCTGAAACTGCCGACGCCCCCCCCTCAAGACCATGAACCCAAGGGATCGGCGCTCTTTCTGGGGGGTGGTGTGCGGCGGGGGGGACACACATGGAGGGATAGTGCAGTAGGATTGTCAATTATTCACGTGGGGAAAGACATCTAACTAATATATAGTATCTAAAGGATGGTAAGGGGGGCGAGGGGGCAGGGGGTGGAGGGGGGGGGTGTGGTGGGGGGGGAGAAGTTCTGACGGTGCCGGGCGTCTTAATTTCATATCTCTGTCTAAAGGATGAGTGTTGGAAACGCTAGAATAATATTGGAGTAATGGATCCTCTTCCGGGGGGGGGGGGGGTGGGGGGGTGGGGGGGGGACAAGTATGAGATAGTGGGGGGGGGGGAAGAGGGGATTTAATTGTTGGCTTATATTAGAGCTGATAGAGCGTAGAGTGCTCTGTGAGACAACTACTAATAGTCTATGTGACACAGGAGAGTGGGGGGGGGATAAGGCGGTGGCCTGGTGCTAGGGGGGTGGGTGGTGGGGGGGGGAGGGGGGGTTTGTGTGGGGGTATGTAGGGATGGGGGGGGGGGGGGGGGGGGGGGGTGGGGTGGTTGGGGTTTGGGTACATGGGGGATCTAAGGTGATTGGTATGGGGTGTTAAGGTCGTTTGGACCAGCTGATGGGGAGGGGTAGTATGCTCCCTGTGTGGGTAGGGGTCAGGAAATGTTGGGGCATGGTGGGGGGGGGGGTGGGGGGGGGTGTGTGATGCTGTGTGTGTTTGGTCTAGTGAGGGTGTTGGTTGGGGGTTGTTTGTTGGTTTGTGCTGGGTGTTTGTGTTGTGGGGGGTGGGGGGGGATAGCTGATTGGGAGCATGGGAAGAGGGGTGAATGCTAGTTTGAATCATGAAGCAGGGTGCAGTTTATCTTTTCATTCATCTGAAAAACACACTTTAGAACACTAGAAACACCCACTTTCCTCTCTTCGCATTGTGCAGCCTGTCAATCAATCCAATTGGGCAAAACATAACTGCATTGACAGACGGTGTGTGGCATCAGGGCAGAGGCTGTAGCCAAAATACAGACTTAACAATATGTATGTTTCTAATTTTATACTCCCCTAAATGTGAATTACAAACCAAAGTTGTCCTCAACCAATGACCGCTCACTGCGGTTGGACCGAATCACTGTCAGGACAAACAGCAGAGGGAGGGCTCCCAGTAACCTTCAGCAAGGTATTTCATCTCAGAGTACTTTCTCAGAGTACTTTCCTCAGAGTACACATCCCAGAGTACTCTCACTCACTTTTACACCTGTTCAATAAAGCTTGTTATCTTTGAATCTCTAGTACTTACAAACCGTATGCTGTTGACAAAAAATAATTATTCCATGATCACATTAAAACATTACAGAAAAACTTTTGTTATTCCATGATTCCGTTCAGCACTCCTCGTTCACTCCTCATTTCACATCACACTCACATCACCCCATCACACAGGCCGACTCCCCAGTTAGTATTTTGGTCCAGAGTTTGTTAAGGTCAACCGTAGTGTACTTGACATGACGCACAAACATATAACATACACACACATATAACACACACAAACATATAACACACACACAAACATATAACACACACAGAAGGCCTGTAATTTTAAAACTTTGTTATATTTTTCCCATGTCCAATTACAATTGTCCTCATGAGTTATTTCTATAGTTGCAAACTTTCAGAGCCTGCAGAACATGCAGAGCTTTGAGAGATTTTTCCTAAAAGGATCCATTTCAAACTCTAGTGTTTTAACACTCACGTGGTCTTCCGCTCGGAGCTTGTCAACAAACTGTGTCCCCTAAATTTTTACATGAGCTCTTGTTACTTAAAAAAAACCATGCACGTGCAATAAAATTTTTTTTTTCATCTTTTTTTTTTTTTTTTTGTTTTTTCGTTTTTTTTTCCCTTTTTTTTTTTTTTTGTTTTTTTTTTTTCAAAGCCAGTTCGGATTCCTTAAAAATGTAAATTAGTTTCAAAACTTTAATACCTCCACCTTTGTTATTCACGTTCATGAGGAGAAAAGACCATTGTTTTATGTGTGTGTACTTGCACCAATCATGTCTCAGATAACACTGCCAACAGTTATCACAAAGACATAATTGTCCTAATGTTTCTAATTAGCTATTTGGAAGAGAAACAATGTCATAAAAGATTTCAAAAAATGTCCCTAACATCCGTTGTTTTCAACCAATTCACAACAGTGTTGCGTCTATGTGTTATCAGTAACTGGAACTACACTATACTACTCATCATGACGTCAAAAACCAGAATGTTCATCGGACTATTGTTATTAAGTGTTTCAGGTGAGCGCGATTTTTTTTTTTTTTTTTGGGGGGGTGAGGAGATATGTCTGAACAGCAATAACGTTTTGTATTAAGGGAGGGGGCGGGGGGTGGGGGGGGGGGCTGCAGGTGGGTGGGAGGAGCAGGGAGTGTGCAAGGGTGCATGAGGGATTGATTGGGAGTAGGCTGGTAGATGTTAGCCGACGTGAGTGAGAGGTGAAGACGGTATCTGGGGGGGCGTTAGTGTCAAGGGGGTGATGGGTGGGTGTGAGCAAGATGGTGCAGGGGGTGAGGGGGAGGAGTGGGTTGGTGGAGAGGGGGCCGCGTGTATACTATGGTATAGTGTGCATAGTGTCGATAATAGAGCTCCCTTGGCTTGGAGGTTTGGGGAGGGGTGGGTCTAGGATGTGGGTGTGCTGTCGTGAGTGCGTAGTGGAATTGTTGTGTTGCGAAGCTTGAAGTTTGTGTAGGAGGGAGTTGAGAAGGGGGGAGCTGGGGAGTTCTGATTCTGGAGTGAGTTGTGGGGTTATGGGGAAGGGTGAGGGATGGGATAGTTTGGGGGGGTGTTAGTTGGTAATAGTTTGGGGTTTGTGGTAGGTTGTGGTAGAGGGAGGGGGGGGGGAGGGAGGGTCGTTAGGTTTACAGATTTGGGAAAGGTTGGGAGAGGGATGGGGTAGATGGGGAGAGGGATTGGGGAGGGTGAGATTTGGGGAATTGGAGGGGAAGAAGATTGGGAAGGGGGGAGGAGGAGGTTATGATAAGGGAGGAGAGGACAATGGCTTTTTCTTTTCAATACAGATGTTTGACGGCAACGTTCTTCTCCAACGTGCACATAACTCCACTCGGTTTGTGCAAAAGTCTGGTTTTTCTCCATGGAAATGGAGGCCGGAGAGGTCTTCTTCGAGAGTTCCTGTTAGCTGCTGCAGCCGATGCTGCTGTCTTTGTGCCCCCTGTGGGTCTGGGGGAGACGCTGATGGTCCGTGCTGATGGCGCCCGATTGAGGTTGTGGCAGACGATTTTGGCCAAATGAAACAGACAGAAGTTTTCTCGGAAAAAACAGACAAACAAGAAGCACAAACAAGTGTGTTAATTACCATACGAAACCAATGATTAATTACAATTCAAAATAAACCTATGAAATAATTAATATTAACATTTTAAACATTAAATTTTGAAAACCAATTCTGCATTCAACTGCTCTCCTACCCTATTTTTCCAAAAGTATAATGCTCTCTAAGATCATTCTAACTTTTATATCACCAAAATGTAGGGAAAAAAACTTGTCCAGATAAAAAATAAAAATAAAATAATGCCTCTTTATAATCTAACTCAAAGTTCTGTGATCCTATGACTCCATGTCAGTAACATTATCGAGTGTATAAATGTAATTTTCTACAAGAAAAATTCTTTCTTCACGAGAGAGAGAAAGACAGAGAGAGAGAGAGAGAGAGAGAGACGAAAGAGAGAGAGAGAGAGAGAGAGAGAGAGAGGAGAGAACAGAGAGAGAGAGAGAGAGAGAGAGAGAGAGAGAGAGAGAGAGAGAGAGAGAGAGAGAGAGAGAGAGAGAGAGAGAGAGAGAGAGAGAGAGAAGAGAGAGAGAGAAGAGAGAGAGAGGAGAGAGAGAGAGAGAGAGAGAGAGAGAGAGAAGGGGAGAGAGAGAGAGAGAGAGAGAGACAGAACGAGGGAGGGGCTGAGTGGCTTCTCGAACAAAGGAACACATGGATGATTGAAATACACCCCTTTTTGCTACATTTTCCTCGTTTTTATCGTGACAAGGTAATCAGTGGTAAAAGTTTTTCTCACGTCAAACGACACTTTACATTTTATCCTTAAATACGTCAGTAATGGAAAACATTACAATTTGCTTACATGACCAATGCATCAGGTACAGACGGATCTTTTTTTTTTTTTTTTTTCCTCCTCTGTAACTATCGAAACATTACATCCAATACAAGAGAAAAACTCCCAGACTGATCTTTTGTCATTTCTTCACATGAAAACTCATAGTTACAGCCAAGTGGCTCCCTTTTTTCTCATTAATCAGATCATTATTATCAGAATCCACATTTTAAATACTTGGCTTTTTTCTGTTTAAATGTACCCTTTTTTTTTCCCGCCCCCCGGGGGATATGGAGTTTTTATTATCCTATCACTTCTGACCCTAAATCTGTCCCTATTTCTCTAATTCTATTCCTATTTTTTCACTAATATGCTTGTGCCTCTCTGCACGAAGGTGTGCCTCTTTTGCACTTCTAAACCCTGTGGACTCTCATCCTGTATATTCTTTTTTTAGAGCGAGACCAACATCCCTCAAGGTTCAAAAACGTCGAAAAACCTGACTATTGTTCTATCGCGTCCGATAGAATCGCCCATCACGGCGGTCTTGTCCACACTGCAATCTGTCGAGCCAAAATCTCTCTCTCTTCTATTTAAAACAATGTGCAGATTTCCAAAACTGTGATCCGCTTACCTTAGAAGCGACCTTTTTGAAGAGCAGAGAGATTTTTCCAAACCCACAAATCCAGTCTCTATAACTGAGCTCATCTCTGTCCCGCTCCTGCCCCAAATCACGTCGGGTCACCAAATGAAGTCAATAATTCCCTTTGGCTGGCGTGTCCACAATTTGGTACAGAAATCAGACTAAAGATTCTCCAAGTTTAACATCTGCATTTAATTATCTTTACAATCAGATACAGAATATTCAAACAAAAGAGCTCCTATTCTATGCCTGCTCTATCCCTGTGCGTTGCAGCAGCAGCAGCAGTAGCAGTAGCAGTAGCAGCAGTAGCAGCAGCAGTAGCAGCAGCAGTAGCAGTAGCAGCAGCAGTAGCAGCAGCAGCAGTAGCAGCATGTAGCAGCAGTAGAAGCAACAGCAGCAGCAGCAGTAGCAGCAGTAGCAGTAGCAGCAGCAGTAGCAGTAGCAGCAGTAGCAGCAGCAGTAGTAGCAGCAGTAGTAGCAGCAGTAGCAGTAGCAGCAGCAGTAGCAGCAGCAACAGTAGCAGCAGCAGTAGTAGCAGCAGTAGTAGCAGCAGTAGCAGTAGCAGTAGTGGCAGTATCAGCAGTAGTAGCAGTAGTAGCAGCAGTAGTAGCAGCAGCAGCAACAGCAGTAGTGGCAGTAGCAGCAGTAGTAGCAGCAGTAGTAGCAGCAGTAGTAGCAGCAGTAGCAGTAGCAGTAGTGGCAGTATCAGCAGCAGTAGCAGTAGTAGCAGCAGTAGCAGCAGCAGCAGCAGTAGCAGCAGTAGCAGCAGCAGCAGCAGTAGCAGTAGCAGCAGCAGTAGCAGTAGCAGTAGCAGCAGCAGTAGCAGCAGCAGCAGTAGCAGCAGCAGCAGCAGTAGCAGCAGCAGTAGCAGCAGCAGTAGCAGTAGCAGTAGCAGTAGCAGCAGCAGTAGCAGTAGCAGCAGCAGTAGCAGTAGCAGCAGCAGTAGCAGCAGCAGCAGCAGTAGCAGTAGCAGTAGCAGTAGCAGCAGCAGCAGTAGCAGTAGCAGTAGCAGTAGCAGTAGCAGCAGCAGCAGCAGCAGCAGTAGCAGTAGCAGTAG